ACAGGACAACAAGATATCCAAGAGGAGCTCCAGTGAGAGCCCATTATCAGTGGTGTAGCAGAAACCAGAGGCGTCAAGCCAGGCCAAAGACTTGTGGTAGAGACGAATGGACTAAAGGGTAAACTGTGTGACTCAACAGGCCACGCTACAGCTTCCAGGGCAAAATTCTTCTCTCTCTCTCTCTCTCTCTCTCTCTCTCTCTCTCTCTCTCTCTCGCTCTCTCTCGTTTCTTTGTTGTTGTTGTTGTTGTTTTATTTTAGCTTTATTTCATGTGCACTGGTATAATGATATCAGATTCTCTGGAACTGGAGTTACAGACAGCTGCAAGTGAAAGACTTTGGGGCACCTTAGCGTTACTGCACCCCCTTCCTGGGAACCAGGACCCTGGTAACCAACCATGTGTGCACTGGAGCTTTGAGTACTTTCCATCCCCATTGTAGTCTTTCTTCAATAGACCCGGACCCTGGAACTGGGGTGAGATGACCTGCAGATGACCTGCAGGTGTTCCTCCTTGTAATTGCCATAGCATTGATCAAGTAGAGTTAGCTGACCGTTGAATGAACTAGTCAAAATAGTTGACAAATGATTTTTGGACTTTCCCTTTGATTCTGTACTGCCCCCTCCCTGAAAAATTCCTCTTGCTAGTGCATCAACCGTGCTGAGAGTGTCTCTTGGGGCGACCTCCTCCTTGATGGGGCTTTAGGGCTGCCATGTGGGTGCTGGGAATTGCTCTTAACCACTGAGCCATCTTGCAGCCCCTCATTTCTTTGTTTTGTTTGATTTGTTTTTGGTTTTTCTTCTCTCTCTGTCTCTGTCTCTCTCTCTCTTTAAAGATTTATTTATTATAATTACAGTTTTTGCTGCAGGCCAGAAGAGGGCACCAACTCTTATTGTAGATGGTTGCTGGGAATTGAACTTAGGACCTCTGGAAGAGCAGTCAGTGCTCTTTTGTTTCATTTGTTTGTTTGTTTTGATTTTTCAAGACAGGGTTTCTCTGTAGCTTTGAAACCTGTTCTGAAACTCTCTCTGTAGACCAGGCTGGCCTTGAACTCACAGAGATCCAGTCTGTCTCTGCCTCCCAAGTGCTGGGATTAAAGGTGTGCACCACCACCACCACTGTCCAGCAGGAGCCAATGCTCTTAACTTCTGAGCCATCTCTCCAGCCCCTGGTTTTTCTTTTAAATTTGGTTTTGTTTTGGGAGGGAGGCTGCATGGGCAGAGGGCAGAGGGCAGAGGTGAGGGGACGGAGAGATGAGTGGGATCAGAATGCATGCTGTGAAATCCACCAAGAATCAATAAAAGTTTAAGAAAAGAGGGAGAAGAAAAATAGTATTTAATTTTCTTTTACAATAGCCAGATACACCTTGCTGGTGACTTTTGAAGTTATTGCCTTTAAAGAGATCACAGGTCCCTGAGGGCCTCCTGATAGGATTACAGGTAACCTAGTAGAATTTGGGGTCACAGGAATATAGTAAGACAGGATGTCTCTACTGTAAGCAAAACCTGGCTGATGAGAGTCCCAGAAAATGTCCTGGAAAGGAACTAGGCCCTATTGATTCATTATTATTACTTATTATTATTGTGTTTTTGCTTTTGTCTTTTGAGGCAGGTTTCTCTGTGTATCCCTGGCTGTCCTGGAACTTGCTCTGTGGACCAAGCTGGCCTCGAACTCAGAGATCTGCCTGCCTCTGCCTCCTGAGGGCTAAAATTAAAGGTGAGTTTGCCACCAAACATGTTTTTTCAATATTATTGTAAAGCAAAATATCTATATATGAAAGTAATATTAGTTCTTTGTCTACAATCTTCATATCAAATAGCATTTGTGCCGGAATTATTGATTCTCAGCCTGTGAGAGACCTTAGCCAGACTCCAGGATGAGAGGTTTCTTTCCCTTCCTTTGTCCTCATAATTTTCCATCTTTATATCCTGCCCCAGTATCATAACATGGCTTTTAAAAAAAAATAAATAAAAACAACAAAAACTCTAGAGACTCAGCTATCAAGATGGCCTAGTAAGTGAAAAGGCTTGCCACCAAGCCTGCAGACCCAACTTCAGCCACTGGAACCCACATGGTGGCAGGAGAAAACTGATTTCCTGAGAGTTGTCCTCTGACCATGCCTGCGCTACACATATGTACAAAGAAAACAGAAAACAAATGTAGATGCTGAAACACAAACTCTTCTTCCAAGCATGTTGGTAGCACTCTATGTTTTTTTGTTTTGTTTTGTTTTTTTCTTTTTTGGTTTTTTTTTTTTTTTTTTTGAGAGAGGGTTTCTCTGTGTTTCTCTAAGCTGTCCTGGAACTCAGTCTGTAGACCAGGATGGTCTTGAACTCACAGAGATCCACCCGCCTCTGCCTCCCTGAGTGCTGAGGTTAAAGGCGTGCACCCCCTCCCCACCCCCCACCTCCACCCCCGCCTGTCCTCACTCTCTTGTTGATTGCTTGACAACACAGAAGACAATGGTCCTAAATGTTCCCCTACTTGGTAGAATAAGGAGATACTAGGGCTGGAGAGATAGCCCAGTAGTTAAGAACATTTGCTGCTCTTCCTGAGTTAGGTTCCCAGCACCCACATGACAAAGTTCTTGGGAACCTGATGCCTCTGTTGGCACCAGGCATACATGTAGTGCACAGACATACATGCAGGCAAAATACTCATATACATAAAATTAGACTGAAAATTTTAAAGTTAAAAAACCAGACAAAAGCAAGCAAACAAACCAACAACAACAACAACAACAACGGGATGGAGCGATGACTCATCACTTAAGGGCACTGCTTGCTTTTCCAGAGGACCCAGGTTCAATTCAGCATCCACATGGCAGCTCACAACTGTCTGTAACTCCAGGGGATCTGGCACCGTTACACAGGCATACATGCAGGCAAACACCAATGCACATTAAAAAAAAAAAAAAAAGCTAGCCGGACATGTTGGTGCACACCTCTGATTCCAGCATTCTGGAGGCAGAACCAGACAGGTATCTCTGTTCAAGGCCACCCTGGTCTACAATCGAGTTCCAAGACTGACAGTACAGAGAAAACCTGTCTCAAAGATGAATGAATGAATAATAAATAAATGAAAATACTATTCAAACTCCTAGCATAGTTGGCCAGGCCTGATGGCACACACCTTTAATTCCCAGCACTCAGGTATTGGCAGAGGCAGGTGGAGCTCTGTAAGTTTGTGCTATCCTGGTCTACATATTAAGTTTCAGTCAAGGTTACATAGTGAGACTTAGTCCCCCCCCCCAACAACAACAACAACAAAACAAACAAAAACAACAAGGAACCCCCAACTTGATAGTACTTACCTGTGATCCCAGCACTTAGAAGAGGAGGACTGTTGAGTTCCAAGACATCCTGGGAATATTTTATTCTTGTTGGATCAACACACACACACAGCTGCTGGTACGCTGTCAAAGCCTGTACTCTCAGCATTTAAGTGAAGGCAGGATGATCAGGATTTAAGGACCGCCTCTGCAGGAGTTTGAGGCCTTCATGGGTCGGGTGAGAGACTTTCTCAGAAAACAACACGCCAAGGTGTATGAGCTGAGTTCAGTCCTCTCAGAATCCACGTAACAAAAGGCGAGAACTCCTGGATGAAGTCTCTAACGTCCATTATTGCACGGCCGCAGGCCTGTGCCCACCAGGTCTGCACACATAAATAAAAGTTGAAGATAAAACAACAAAAGTGAAGCCAGCAACCCCCCCCCCACCACCACCTCCTGGCTTCCCCAGCAGCCAAGGCTCTTTCTCATCTGCCCAGCAACTCCCTTGCCTGAAGCTCTTCCTTCAGGTCCCCCACCCCCACCCCATCTTCATCCTGACTGCCTGGCTCAAACTCCCAATCGGTCCCCGCGGAGTCTGACCACCCTCGATTTCCTATAGCGTGTGTGGTGCATGCTATAACTCACATAACATCGTGGAGCTTCCTCACTTCTGCTTCCTTCCGATAAATGAACTCTGCTAGGCCAAAGCTTTTATCTCTGCGAACACGCATCAAAGCCTGAAGAGGTCCCAGCACAATCTATGTCCTCAATAAATATTTATGAAATAACCGAAGTTTTAAACACAGCTTGGCCTGGAGGTGTGGTGGTGTAGTCAGGCATTTGGGGGGCCTTGGGTTCCCTGTTTAACGCCCCAATATAGTTCCTACTTTGCCTTTTTATTTTTAAATGTTATAGACATACCCATACATAGTAGAAGAAAATACTTCAAAATGTTAGTGGTCATTTCTGGTGGTATTTTTTTCCTTCTTTGTGTTTTCCTGTGGGTTTATTCCTGAAATCCTATGATAAAATGGGCTGTTTTAGGGGAAGCATACTGGTGCACACCTATAATCCAGTACTCAGAATACGGAGGCAGTGGCATCACAAGTTCCATACCAACTTCCATATGTGAGGTACATATAGAGACAAAAGAAAGGGGGTGTGTTTGAAACATCTCAGTGAGGAAAAGTGCATGCTGCCACGCCAGACGACCTGAATTCGCTCCAGAGCCCCTATGATGGAAAGCCAGAACCGACTGTCTCAAGTTGTCTTCTGACCTACAGGACACACACACACACACACACACACACACACACACACCACTCAATGAATAATAAAGAAAATGCAAATGTCAAAGCTCCACATTTAAAACAGTATTATTTTATCATAAGAAAATTGCTTTCTAAACCTCTCCTGCGCCTCTAGGGCCGTGCATTCAATGTCACACACAGCGAATGCTTTTGCTGTGAATTTCATGAATCCGTTTTCCTGTAGGAGATGCATCAGAAATTGGAGAGGTATTGAGGCAATATATATTGCAAGGACATGCTATGTAAAATACTGCTTTTATTTTGTGGTAAATACTGCTGGAAAGAATAAATATCCTTGCCTCGCCCATTCAGGGCAATATTCCCAGGGAACACACCCACCTAGCAACCAGGAGCGGAGCGGAAGAGCAGCACTGCGCCTTTAATTCCGCGACTGGGGTGGGGTAGCCCGGAGAGGTTCCACTCCCCCACTCCCTCTGTACCTCCAGTGGCAGCTGTCACCTGTAAGCCGAGCACCGCTCAGGGGCATGGAGCCCAGCACCCATTGGATAGGACCTCTCGGCAGCAACCTATCCCCCAGGCTGGGGGCCCGGCCCGGTGCAGGCGGAGGGCAGGAGCTCCAAGCGCCCTTCGCCCGGAGGCGTCCCAGTGCGGCGGGGAGGGCGTGACTGCAGTCCAGCTTCGGGGATCAGAGCTCCAGGTGAGCCTGGCGAGGCGGCTGGGGCGACCCCGGAGCCGCAGGGACCGAGTATGGCGCTGGCAGCCGCCGCCGCTGCGGCCGCTGCCGCCGCAGGGGTGAGCCAGGCGGCGGTGCTGGGCTTCCTTTTGGAGCACGGCGGGCAGGTGCGCAACTCCGAGCTACTGAGTCGCTTCAAGCCGCTGCTGGACGCCGGGGACCCGCGCGGCCGCGCAGCCCGCAGGGACCGCTTCAAGAAGTTCGTCAACAACGTGGCGGTGGTGAAGGAGCTGGATGGGGTCAAGTTCGTGGTGCTGAGAAAGAAACCGCGACCTCCGGAGAGACCAGAGCCCCCGCACCCCTCCAGCCCTGGGGTGCTAGCCACGCAGGCTGAGAGCACTGCCGTCCCAGCGGAGGACACCTGCGTCCCCGGAGCTTCCCCTTCCCCACAGCCGTCCGAGGAACCGCAGGAGGACTTGTCCGCACCATCGGATCCACAGCCTGCCTCAGGGCCCCCACCCTCAGGGGTCACCCAGCTTGGGGTTCCATCAAGCTCAGCGCCACAGGCTGGGGTACCCGAGGATCAGGAGCTGCCCTGGCCCTCGGAGGGAGCCTCAGAGGTAGCCGTACCAGCCAGTGTGCCGTCGGGGGCACCCTCGCCGAGCACAGAGTCGCCAGACCCGAAGCCTGCACCTCCCACGGCGCAAATGCCACCGCAGAAGCCCTGCATGCTGCCGGTGCGCTGCGTGGTCCCCGGCCCCGCGGCGCTGCGGATCCGCGCGGAGGAGCAAGGCCTGCGCAGGCAGCGTTCGGAGGAACCGAGCCCGCGGGCCTCCCCGATGCTGCTGCGGCGGCTCTCGGTAGAGGAGTCGGGTCTGGGCCTCCACCTGGGACCCGGCCGCTCCCCCCATCTCAGGCGCCTGTCGCGCGCGGGCCCGCGCCTGCTGAGCCCGGATACAGAGGAGGTGCCTGCCGCGCCTCCGCCACCGCCTGCGGTGCCCCTGGAGCCCACGGAGCACGAGTGGCTGGTGCGCACGGCCAGCGGCCATTGGAGCCACCAACTGCACGGGCTGCTCTTGCGGGACCGCGGCCTGGCTGCCAAGCGTGACTTCATGTCAGGCTTCACCGCCCTACACTGGGCAGCCAAGAGCGGCGATCGGGAGATGGCTCTACAGCTGGTGGAGGTGGCCCGGCGTGGGGGCGCGCCCGTGGACGTGAACGCGCGTTCGCACGGTGGCTACACGCCGCTGCACCTGGCGGCCCTTCACGGCCACGAGGATGCAGCCGTGCTGTTAGTGGTGCGCCTGGGCGCCCAAGTGCACATCCGCGACCACAGCGGCCGTCGTGCCTACCAGTACCTGCGGCCTGGCTCCTCCTACGCGCTGCGTCGTTTACTTGGTGACCCTGGCCTGCAAGCTATGACGGAGCATGATGGGGCCAGTGGTGGCAGTGGGAGCCTTGTGTCGAGGCATCCCGTACAGGTGGCTGCCACCATCCTCGGCTCCACCACTAGCGCGTTTCTGGGCGTCCTGGCTGACGACTTGATGCTCCAGGACCTGGCTCGTGGCTTGAAGAAGTCAAGCTCCTTCAGCAAGTTCTTGGGTGCCTCCCCCATGGCTCCCCGCAAAAAGACCAAGATCCGTGGTGGCCTGCCATCCTTCACCGAAATCTCTCGTCGACCCACCCCGGGGCCTTTAGCTGGTTTAATGCCCAGTCTGCCCCCTCCAACCTGAATGACCATGAAGCCACCAATGCCTTGGTTGACCAACCAGGGCTTGTGCCATACCATCTAAGCCTGTCCAAGACAGGACCAACGCCTGCAGCCTGTTCCACTTCCCACCTTGTCCATCGCAGCCTATTCTACCCAGATGGGCCTTCACCTTCTGTCTGAACTTTGATGTGCCTATAGAGATGGGATTCTTGTTCCCTGAGAGAGGTCCCTGTGAAGAAACTTCACAGGTCTGAACTTGGAAGGAGACTTGAAGTTTAGGGTCAAAGGTTAAGGGGCAGCAGCTGGTCTGGCCCCTGGAGGTGTTAACCAGAGGCCTCTGCATGGACAGATTCCCAAACCAGAAGTGGAGTCAGGGTCTCTAGATATTCAAAGATGGCGACTTTAAGATCTGTAGTGTCTTTGTAATTGGATGCTTTTATTCTGTTTTTAAATTTAAAAAATGAGGTATGGAAACTTTGATAATACCTTTTGAAATTCTGGGTTTTTTTCCCCCACTTTTAGACAAAGTAAGAAGACATTTTCAGTCTTTTGCTGACTATTTTGGAAATCTATCTTTTAAAAAGAGGGAAATTAGTCCTAGCCAACAACACTAAATAAGTTTATCTACCTCACTGTAGGCAGCACAGATTCTGGAATCTTGAACACGGAATAACCGTTGTGACCCTAATGAATGTAACCAATTCCAATTGTACTGTGAATATCAAATATTGCGAAACAAGTGTGTGATTGGGTGTGGTGGCGCATGTCTTTCATCCTACCAGATGGAGGCAGATCTCTGTGAGTTCTAAACCAGCCTGGTCTACAGAGCTAGTTCCAGGACAGCCAGGGCTACACAGAGAGACTCTGTCTCAAAACAAACCAAACAGACAACCTCCAAACCCCCCAAAACAAGCAAAAACAAACCAAAAGAAGTGCATCTTGGGAGTAAGTGTGATTTAACAAAGATAGAAAAAGAGACATTTTGGTAAATAACTTTAAACTACTCAAATGTAAATTTATTTCACACTAACTGGTGGCTACTTTGATTTGGCATGAAATTTTAATTTTTTTAAAATTGTGATTTAATTGTGAATTTTGAATCTGTGGTTTTCTGTGCAATGGGTGAAAAGTTATAATCAAAGGAAAAAATTATTACATGAGAAAAAACTGTTTAATAGTAATTGAAACGATTGTTATTTTATATGAAAGTTCTGAACAAATAAGTGTATGATATCCATTTAAAAACAAAAACACTTGAACTAGCCAATGCAGAACTTGGTCCAGTGACCTAGAATGAGCGGTGTAACTTCTGGACCTTTGTTCCTTCCTGTGAATGGAGCAGGCTCGTGGCTATGCCCAAGATTTCCGGCTGGGCATGGTAGAGTCATAATAGTACCCTTCCCTCCCCCCTTTAAAGAAAAAAATGTGAAATCTATTTACTCAATCAACTTTTTGTATCCCGTCATGATGTTGCTGTCTTTGGGAACTATGTTTGCATGTCATCAGTCGTGCTGAGTGGTTCTTGTGGCACAAGGGTGTGACTTCACCCCCAATATACGTCAGTGAGACCTTTGAAATCATTAAAGATAGTCCAGCAGTCATTCATGGGATGATTTAAAGCCACGAAATAAATAGTTCCTGTTTCTATGTCTGAGACACACTTCTCTTAGCTATAATTGATTTTCCTTTTTTAAAGAAATGTTGTTATTATTGGGGCTGGAGAAATGGCTCAGTGCTGGAGAAATATTATTGGCTCAGCGATTAGAAGCATATAATGCTCTTGTGATGGACCCCAGTTTGGTTCCCAGCACCCACGTAAGGCATCTTACCACCTCCTGCACCTCTGGACTGTATACCTCTACATAGACATACCCCCCCACACAAATAAAAACAAATCTTTAAAATATTTGGTCTTACTGTGTGTGAGAGGGAGGGAATGTGGGTCCTCATGTGCCACAGAGGTCAGAAGACAGCTAGGGGTGGGTTCTCTCCTTCCCCTGTGAGCTCCAGGAAGCAGGTTGTCAGGCTGCTAGACCATCATGCACCACACACTCCACACCATCCCACCCCACCCCACTCTACCCCAGCTACCTGGAGCTAAAGATTGAATCCAGGGTGTCTCCCTTACTAGGCAAACATTACCCACCAGCTACACGCTGCTCCTGTTTTATCTATGTAATGTCTCCCCTTTCCCCCAGATTTCCCCTGCTTCCTTCACACATTCTTCATCCAAAGAGTTCAGATTTCTCTGCAAAGGACTCAGGAACCACGGATAAATGCAGGCCCTGGGCTGATCCTTTCTTCTTCCTTCGCCTGGAACTCTAGCCTGCATGAATTATTTTAAAATGCAAATTAAATCTTCTGCCTCTGCAGAGAAATTGTGGGAAGGCAATAATCACAGCAATTTGCGTAGCTGAAGCTCCAGGAGACAGGATGACACATTGGAGATTTTCTGCGGTGAAGGGAAAGCGCCTGGCTGAGCCGGGATGACAAAGGTCCCAGGCATAGATATGATGTGTCTTGAGAGACAGGATCCCAGCTAACGGAGCAGTAAAAAACCAGCAATTACTGAGAACTTACCTCCCGGGAGAGCTATTTCAGCAGCCGGAAGAATCTTCATATTTCTCCAGTATCCTGCAAACCTCCAAGTGAAAGAAATCATTTGCTAAGAGCTAAGAATTAATAAACTCACAGCCCGGGTGTTAGGAACCGTTGCTGTTTTCGTGTAAGCCAGGACTGTTCTGGAACTGTGAGGGAAGCCAGTGAGAACGACAGCATGTGGGAAGTTTCCGAGAACTCTATGTTTAATTTTTAAAAGAAAAACATAGGTTGGGGGCTGGAGAGGGAGCTGAGTTGGTTAAGTGCTTGCTATGCAAACAGATGAACCCGAACTAGATACTAAGAACCCACATTTTATTTATTTATTTATTTATTTATTTATTTATTTATTTATTTCGAGACAGGGTTTCTCCACGTAGCTTTGGAGCCTGTCCTGGAACTAGCTCTTGTAGACTAGGCTGGCCTCAAACCCACAGAGATCCACCTGTCTCTGCCTCCCGAGTGCTGAGATTAAAGGTGTGTGCCACCACCGCCCAGTGCTAAGAACCCACATTTAAAAAAAAAAACCCTCCTCCTGGTGGCCAGGTGTAGAGGGACCTGCTTTTAATCCTAGCTCTTGAGAATCAAAGGCAGGTGGATCTCTGTGAGCTCAAGGCCAGCATGGTGTACAAAGTGAGTTCCAGACCATCCAGGGCTACAGAGAGGGACCCTGTTGCAAAAAAAGGAAACAAACACAAAGCTTGATGTTGGGGCTGGAGAGGTGGCTCAGGGGCTAAGGGCACTGGCTGCTCTTTCAGAGGACTGGGCTTTGGTTCCCAGCAACCACATGGTGGCTCACAACCTCTGAACTTCAGTTCAAGAGATCAGACATATTTTTTTGTTTGTTTGTTTGTTTGTTTGTTTGTTTTTTCAAGACAGGGTTTCGCTGTGGCTTTAGAGCCTGTCCTGGAACTAGCTCTGTAGACCAGGCTGGTCTCGAACTCCCAGAGATCCGCCTGCCTCTGCCTCCCGAGTGCTGGGATTAAAGGCATGCGCCACCATTGCCCGGCTGATCAGACATATTTTCTGACTTCCATGGGCACCAGGCACTCAGGTGATATACAGGCTAAACACTCATGCACAAAAATAAATAAATCTGAATAATTTTTAGAGGCCAGGTGCGGTGGCATGTCTTTGTAACCTCAGTGCTGGGACAGCAGAAATGGATGGTGGTTCCCTGGAAGTCACTGGACAGCCAGCCTAGCCTCTGGAGAGTTCCAGGCTACTAAGTGACCCTGTCTCAAAACGAAATAAATGGACAAAAATCCACAGAGACAAAAAAAAGACCAAATCAAATGAACCCAAGTGGATAGCATCTAAGGAAAAGCATTTGAGGTTGTCTTTTGAGAACCATACATGTGGGCATACATGTGCATGCAGACACACGCATTTGCACCCACACCAATGCGTACACACACCACAAAATATATCCAGACACATGTAAATAAATAAATATAATAGAAAGATGAACTGCTAAGGCAACTTAGGTGGTAAAGGTTGCCAAAGGAGGAGAATTGAATCCTTTTCATGGAAGACAAGTTAATTGTTGTTAGACATGAGTCACAGCCCCGGCAAGCCTGCTAATACACTTTGTACTGCCTTTGACTGAGGTGGGGTTTATTCTTGAACAAGCTGCCCTGCCTGGCTGATGAAAATTCAGGGCACAGGTAATGCATCTGTAAGTTGTGTCTGTTAAGTCTGTTCCAGGCCCAGTTTCAATATGTCACCGTTATTAACCAAGCCATGTGTATGGTATAGACTCTTAGTATCTGGATGTTTTCCTCACTCACCCCATTTGTCTGTGTGTGCACGCTCATGTGCATGCATGTTTGCATGTGTTCAGGCACATACATGCATGTGGAGGCCTGAGGTTGATATCTAAAGTAATTTTCAATCACTCTCTCACCTTATGCACTGAGCCAGGGTCTCTCAATCAACCCAGAATTCATGGATATGGTTAGTCTCCCTAGCCAGCTGGCTTTAGGGATCCTCTGTCTCTGCCTAGAGGCTAGAGTTACAGCTGCACCACCATGCCCGTCTGGCATTTGCATGGGTTCCAGGATCTGAACTCTGGTTTTCATGCTGGCTCAGCAAGCTCTTAAGTCCTGAGCCATGTCCCCACCCTGTCGGTGTCTAGGTTTTAAATCAGGAAACTAAAGGCTGCAAATGTGGGGACAAACTTGTCCAGGCTCACGCCCAGTAAGTGGCAGCTGGCATCTCGGTCTCATCAGGAGTGTTCCTATCGACTGTTGGTTAGTGCTAGCAACATGAAAGACTTTAGGATCAGCTAAGAGATGGGCCTCTGGGCACGCCTGTGCAGGGATTACCTTGATTATATTAATTGATTTTAATTGGGGGTGGACCCACTTCCCTGGGCAGGGAATCCTGGGCTGCGTGAAAGGAAAGAGAGCAGAGCGCCCCCATGCCTGCATTCATTCCTGTTTCCTGATACAGTGTGATCAGCTGCTCCGGCCTCCTGTGGTCTTGAATTCTCTGCCAAGATGGACCAGGCCTGATCAAAACCTCACTCCCTTAGGTTGCTTCTGTCAGGACACTTTATCACGTGGACAGAAAGGGAAACACTGACTCTGGGCTATTGTCCACACTCCATCTCCTCACTCTGGGGACAGAAGACTGGCAGCCTCCATCCTGCAGGCTGTGAGGAGGAGGAGCAGCTCGGGGTGGATAATTCGAACTCTTGGAGATCCTCGGGGCAACCAGAGGCTCTGAGTCGCTTCCACGGGTTTGCTTTACATGATCGTCACTCTTTGGTCACGTTCGTGCTTGCAAACCAAGACACTCCATTCTATTAGAAAAAGTGATTTCCCACAGAAGGGAAACTCTCTCGAGTTCTTTGTATGATAGCACTTTAATTAAAATAGAATCGACAGGGCTGGAAGGTGGCTCAGCAGTTAAGAGCACTGACTGCTTTTCCAGAGGACCTGGGTTCTAGTACCAGCACTCACATGACTGTTCACAACCACCTGTGACCAAGTTCCGGGACACCTGACGCCCTCTTCTGTACATGCAGGCAAAACACCCCCATACACATAAAATAGGTTTTGTTTTTGAGATGGAGTCTCGCTGTCAGGTCCAAATTCTGGCGATCAAACAAATCCGGCGTTCCTCAGGAATTACCAAAGGAGCCAAACCCCTTCTCACTGGCAGAAGGGACAAATGGCTGTCTGTGGTGCCTACTCGCACACCAGCATGCATGCTGGCCTCCAGGCTCCTGCAGAACCACAAGTACCGGTTACACACGTCAGAGTCCACGCTGGCTTCCTGGCTCTTCCCCCATCCCTTACCTTACACTTCTCCAGCCCATGGGCTTCCCTCTCCCCAGCTTCTCATCCTTCCTACTTCAGCTGAGCCCACTCTCGGTCTCCTCCGCTAGAATTCTCTTTGCCTTCCTCTCTCACTCTCCCCATTCATGGCAGGCCCAGTCCGCTGGCCATGGCAATCCACTACTTTCTCTGCCTGCTCTGGACTCTTCCAGATGTCTCTGGTCGCACTCTCCCTCATAGCGACAATAGGAAACTTTCCACTTAACCATACCTTGGAGTGGTCATGTAGTCAGTTTATACACTTGCTATGTACCGAAAAATGTTTTTTATTCTAAGCCAGACATGATGGTGTCTGTCTTCAATCCCAGCACTCAAGAGACAGAGGCAGGAGGATCTCTGTGAGTCCCAGGCCAGCCTGGTCTACATTGCAAGTTCCAGGCTGACTAGTCAGGGCTACATAGTGAGACTCTGTCTCAAAAAAAAAATTTTTTTTTTTTTACTATAGAATCAGTGGAAGGTTAGTCTGGTGGTACATACTTGTAACCCCATGAAGGCAGAAGATCAGGGATTCAATGTCATCCTGAATGTTGTTACATATGGAGTTCAAGGCTAGCCTGGGCTACTTGAGGCCCTGTCTCAAAATAATAACTATCATCTTCAGAGTCAACAATATCATTTTTTAATATTTTATTGCCTTTGTTGTTTTTTTTTTTCCAAGACAGGTTTCTCTGTAACTTTGGAGGCTATTCTGGAACTCGCTTTATAGACCAGGCTGGCCTCGAACTCACAGAGATACACCTGCCTCTGCCTCCCGAGTGCTGGGATTAAAGGTGTGTGCCACCCCCACTGAGCTTTTTATTACATTTTAATGTATTTCATGCATATGTGTGTGGGCATGCATGTGACGTGGCGCATGTGTGGAGGTCAGAACGTGACTTTCAGAAGTCAGTCCTTCCCTTCTGCTATGCAGGTTGCAGAGATGACACT